ACCTATTTCAATTTACACAAATGAAACAGAAATGAAAAATAATTTCAAAAAAAAATTCGTATATTCCATTCATTCAGTGACAAAACAGAGAGGGAATTAAGGATATGAGAAGCATACCAGCGTTAGCAAAGAGAAGGGTTGGATCATTGAAGGGCACGACAGGACTAGACTTCCAGTAAACATGATTCTTATCTTCGAAGAACTTAATGAAAGTGTCTCTGACGCGCTTTGCCGGCCACTCCAAATCGCGTGAGCCATCACCAGGCATGGCGGCGGCGGCGGCGGCGGAGGGTGGAGAGAAGAGAGATATGCGAAGAGGATTTTGAAGCTTAGTAATTGAGAGGTTGCGGCGCCAAGACAGGAGGGTTACAGTTACGAAGAGAAATGAGCAGAGCTCTAACACCTTTCGCACAGAATAGGAAGTCAAAAAGTTAATGATTTTAATGTTTATACTTTATACGCGCGTGAATGTAGATAAAGTTCCTAAAATGATATTAATTTTGGTTGAAAAATTAAAAAATTATAACGAAAAAAGTATTATAATCCTGAAATAAATTATGATTATAAAAATATCTTACTTCCACCTCAAAATGATATCGTTTTGAGCTCAATGTAAATAAATTATTTACGTTCACCGTAGAAAAAGCGAATCCAAAGTTAATAAATTTAAAATAAAGGAAAAAATATTTGTCATTTTAAATAACACAAATTATATCATTTCACTCTCACAAAGAGGTGAGACCCACATTTTTAAATTTTTGTTCACTCTCTCCTTCTTTATCTAACTCTTTCTCTCACTTAAAATGACATAACTTTGAACCTGTTTGGATACTCTTATTTTTAAGTTAAAAAAAAAGAGCTTTAAAAAAGAAGCTAAAAGCTGTTTGGAAATTATATAAAAATTTTAGCTTAAAAATTACTTAAAAACACATATTTCAAGAAAATTATTTCTCTATATTTTTATCTCTCTTCATATTAAAAAAAACACATGATTCAAGAAAAACAGATAAGAGTTTAAAAAAAAACTCCTCCTAAGAGCTTTTAGTTTTCAGTTTTTTTTTTTCATTACAAAAAAAGAATTTTTCGTTATAAGAATTTTTCTCAAAATCTGTTTGGCTTAACTTATACTTATTTATAAGTATTTTGTAGCTAAAAAGAGAGAGAATACAAACATGCACTTTTTTTTTTTGAAAAGCAAACAGGAAACAGAAAAACAAAAAAAGAAACTAGGAACACCTCCTAGACCAAACTACTCCTACATAGTCCCTTTCAAGTTTGTCACGACAACCAGAAGGAGGCGAGTCAAACTCTTGTAAAGACCAATCAAAGGAGTAAGCAAAAGAGGCCATCCAATCGGCAACCCCATTCCCTTCCCTGTGAATATAGGAAATTCTAACCCTCCAATTCCAATCCAGCATATTCCTTATGCGCAAGACCAAGTTAGAGGCTGGATGATGAGAGCTGCACCCTTCTCTTATGAAAAACTGGGCTACTAAGGAATCACCTTCAAGCCAGACAAAACGGAAACCTTTCCTCCATGCAATCTCAAGCCCAAGGAGACAACCCCAAAGTTCTGCTAACAAAACATTACCACAGCCAAGATTTTTACAAAAGCCAACAAGCCACCTTCCACTAGCATTCCTAAATACACCCCCACAAGCAGAAGCTTCTCCATTATTCATACTTGACCCATCCACATTGAGCTTAACCCAAGGGTCCGAAGGAAAAACCCAAGAAACTAATTTCTCTTTATTCGAGTTAGTCTCAAGACCAGCAACTCGAAGCGTGTTTTCTGACCAAGAAAAATCTTCACCATAGACCATAGCAGCTCTAAAAGTGCCATAAGCAGGAACAGAAGATCCCTGAAAAATTTTCTTATTCCTAGCTTGCCAAATGAAACAGGAAATGATACCAAACAGAAGAGGCCATGATGGCAAATTGGACCAATTACGATCCTCAGAGATATTGGACAACACCCATTGCTGAAGATTAAGAGAGAAAAAATCCTCCCAAGCCTCTCGCTTAACTGCAATCTCCCACACTTTTTTTGCTGCAATACAATCTCTAACCGCATGTAAGGAAGTTTCCGTAAAACAATTGCACAGATGACATATATCTGAACCCGCCATGTGCCGTCTGCAACGCCTTTCATTTGTCAAAATTTTATCTCCTAACAACAGCCAAAGGAACGTACGAATCCGTTCAGGTCCATGCCACTGCCAAACGCGATTCCAAGGTAAATTGGTAGATTCCTCGTCACCCCTGGATATGGCCATATAAGCGGACTTCAGCGAAAAACTCCCATCAGATGTCCTTGTCCACAAAATTCGGTCATGACCATTAACATCCGAAGGAGGAAGGATGTTATTAATACGAGCATTGACGTGATCGGGAAGACTATGTTGGAAAGCCCCCCACATCCAACTTCCGGAGGATGAGACAAGATCAGAGACCATTAGCTGATGATTTATCTGAGAGGGATCAGAAATAGCAGCATAGGATGAGAGTGCACCACAACCCGGAACCCACGGGTCATCCCAAAAATGAGTAGAATTTCCATTACCTAGCAAAATTATGGAATGCTGTAATATCACAGGCCAAGACGAAACAATTGCTTTCCAAAGAGAGGAGCTATTCCGAGTAGCAGAAATATTAGGAACCAAATCAGACTGAACTTTATACTTGCTCTTTAAAACTCTAGCCCAAAGCGCGTCTGGATTAGAAAGGATCCCATAACCAATTTTCGTAATAAAAGCCCTGTTAACTTCCTTCATTTTCTTCAGACCCAGCCCTCCATGATCTTTATCCATGCACAACTGATCTCACGCAACCAGATGAGGACGAGTATATGCTCTATTAGAACCCCACAAAAACCTCCTAATATGTTTCTCAATATCATTGCAGATTCCGAGAGGAACAACAGAAACTTGCATTGTGTAGGCTGGAATAGCTGAGAGAACAACTTTCGAAAGTGTAATTCTTCCTGCTAGAGAAAGACTGGTGTGGTTCCAGGCATTAATCCTAGATTGAACTCGATCGAGGATATGACTGAAAGCCGCCCTCCCAACTCTGCGATGATGAAGAGGAATACCCAAATACTTTCCAAGATCCACCGTCCTTGAGAAGCCCAACTCACCACTAAGTTCCTCTGCCAAAATATGATTCACATTGTGGGAGAAGAGAATTTTTGTTTTTTCATGGTTAACCTTTTGCCCAGAAGAAAGACAAAAATCATCTAGCACCTTGGAAATGGTTTGGGCCTGATCAAAGGATGCATCCGCACAAAGAATAAGATCATCCGCAAAAAAGAGGTGAGAAATGGGAGGAGCATTTCTCCTCAACATGATCGGCTTCCAGCACTTTTGCCTAACTGCATGGGAAATGAGATGACCAAGTCGCTCCATACAAAGAATAAATAAATATGGGGACAAAGGGTCACCCTGTCTAAGCCCGCTGGATGGGAAAAACTCCTGAGTTGTAGAACCATTCCAAAGAACATTCATCGAACAAGAAGAAACACACCACATAACAAGATTAATGAGATTTGGGGGGAGTCCCACATCCTGAAGAGTATCTCGGAGAAAGTCCCAGCTAATTCTGTCATAAGCTTTCTCCAGATCCACCTTAATCATCATCCAACCTTTGGCGCCTTTCTTTGACCTCATAGAGTGAATAATTTCCTGAGCAATAATTACATTATCTGTCCCTTGCCTTCCTTTGATGAAACTACACTGGTTAGGCATAACAATTTTATCCATCTGCAATTTCAAACGGTTAGCAATAAGCTTAGTAATAGTCTTATAAATAACATTACAAAGGCTAATAGGCCGGAAATCTTTAAGGGATTGAGGTGAAGTTATCTTCGGGATCAGGCAAATAAGAGTTTGATTAATATCCCGAACTTTTTGGGGATTATTAAACACATCTTTCACCAGATCACAAACAGAGCTTCCTACAGTATCCCATTGAGATTGGAAAAATAGACTATGAGGACCGTCCACCCCTGGAGCTTTGTGAGGTCCCATGGAAAAAACTGTACTCCTAATCTCCTCATTCGAAGGAATGCTACCAATATGAATGTTGTGCTCTTGCACAAGGTGAGGAAAATAGCCTCTAATTGGAAGCCCAGGTCTAGCAGTATTATCCTCTTTAAACAAATTACGATAATACTCCACCGTCATATTCATCAGAATAGAGGGATCACCAATCCAATCACCAGCATCATTTTTCAGAGCATCAATACGATTTCTCCTCCTCCTAGCAGCTGTAGTAGAATGGAAGAATTTCGTATTCCGGTCACCATATTTCAACCAGCTAGCCCTAGACCGCTGAAACCAAGTAAGATCCTCCCGAATATAAATGAGATTCAACTGACGCCAAAGATCTTTCTGCAGAATTTCTAGAGCATGGCAAGGATGGTGACTAAGACTACGGTCAATACCCCTTAGTCTCGCCTGAAGATTATTCTTAAGCTTGGCATCTTCCCTAAAGCACTCCCTATGCCAGTGAGAAGCATTCGATCGAAAAGTTTCACTAGTTGTGCCCCAACCTGTACTCCCATTCCAACACTCCTGCACTAGGCCAGGGAAATCCTCATGAGTGAGCCAGGCTGCCAGAAATCTAAATGGACGGCTCCCTCCAGGATGGTGAGGAGAAGGACCCTCCCAGAGAAGAAGAGGTCTATGATCCGAGCAGTAGCAGGGAAGATGAGTCACAACCCTGTCAGGAAAGGACAATTGCCACTGCTCATTCGCACAAACTCTATCAAGACGTTCCTTCAATCTGCCTCTATGCCAAGTGAAAGTAGGCCCCTGATGACCCAAGTCTTCCAGATTGCAGTTCATAATACAATTTTGGAAATCATAAATACTCCTCCAATCAGGCGGGCCACCTCCCTCCTTTTCTGCTGCATGCAAATAAGAATTGAAATCTCCCAAAATGCACCAAGCCTCCGAGGATTACTGTTGTAACCTTCCTAGAGCATCCCACAGAGACACCCTCTAAAGACGCCGCAGACTGGCATAAACAAAAGTAACAGCTTCCTCCTTCCTCCTATTACGCCAAAAAATTTTTAAATGGATAAACTGACGATGAGACTCTAAAATCCGAATCTGAGCTTCATTATCATTCCATAACACCCACAGGCCACCAGAAAAACCTTGAGGATGAGCCATAACATGCTTTTGAAAGCCAAAGCCTTTCACCACCTTCTGAGCACGGTCAGCTCCGATACGAGTTTCAAGCAAAGCCATAACTTGAATATTAAAACGACGAGACAAGTCCCTAATAAGGGGAGAAAAACCCTTTTTTCCAGCCCCCCTGCAATTCCAAACACACACTCATCAAAAAACCACAAAAAATAATGAGAAAGGATGAAAAACACCCTGTCATTAGACTTTGGGGAGATCAAAACTATCCCGCATCACCGAGGGTACATCAGCAGGTCTCAAACTAGCATTCGAAGCCTCAACATCCTTCGAGCTGGAAAGAGTAACCGGACTCTTGTTGTCATGCGTTATTATGGAAATATCAACCCCATCCTCCCTTTTACCGGAATCTGAGGGAGTTACCACATGTGGAGGAGATGATGTAGAAGAGAGAACAAGAGACTTTCTGCCATTAATGTCCATTGCTGAAATTTTTTTTTTGCCGAGCTCGAAGCAATGAACGGCTTAGCCCTTTGCTTAAAACTCTTTGGGACAATAGATAAGGCAACTGCCTTTTTATTCCTGTTAATTTCATCACGTAACTCTTTCTTTTTTTTTCCATTTTGCGACAAAGTAGAAGACTTGGAAACGGTAGCCTCTTGTGGTCGAGACAAAATCCTTTCTTCTACCTGAGGAATAACAGTACCTTTTTGAACAACTGGCATAAGCTCAGGGCCACTTAGATTTTGATTTGGCATAGAGGGTCCCACCAAATTTGTAACTGTATTTGAGCTAGGGAGAATAGCTGCTGAAAGATGACGTTTATCACGAGGAAAATTCGAAATCTTATTATTTAAACCCTTTTTCAAATCAGCACTAGCGGTTACCTTAGAGGGGCCATGCTTATCATTAATGATTTGAATATTCTCATAATTAACATCATGATTATCATTAACTTCGTCAGAAATAACTGAAAATCTTGATCCAGCCGTTAAAGACTCCACCTTTGAAGCTCCAGAACCGTTATTTTTTGCATTAATCATTGTAGCCGATTTAATTCCCACATGATTATCGGGTTTCTGCTGCTTGATTTTAGCTGGACGTGAAACAGAATGATTTATTCCTTGAGCATTAATTCTCCTTTGGCCAGTTGTAACGGATGACCCCTGATTCCCGGCTGCATTGATTGCGGTAGCATTGATTGCGGCAGCATTGATTGCGGCAGTCTCCATGGTAGCTTTTGCCTTCCTTCCCCGTTGACTCCTTTGGACAATCATCCAAGAACCAAAAGCTTCACCTTCTGCCATCTCACGCCTGACACCATTGTTAACAACCTCTGCACGAACATCCTTTTGGTGAGAATGACTATCGGTTGACACCGAAACCGAAGAACAAGTGTCACGCCTATGCCCATACTTACCACATGCAAAGCAGATCATGTGAAGGCCTTCATACCCTACCGTATAAACCTTATTAATGAGATTGAATTTAGACAAGAAGCCTTTACTGAGATCTACTTCTACGCAAATACGCGCAAACTTGGCCCTTTCCGTAACAACCCCATCACCAGCATCACTTTTACGTATAGAGTTCCTATCAATCTTCAGTGTTTTCCCAAATAGATCACCTATGTTCCGCAAATGTTGGGAGGTATAGAACTCCATAGGTAACCCCGGAATACGGATCCAAACAGCTAATTTTTTAAGGTTGTCCTCGTAAGGATCAAATAATGGCCGCCACCGTTGAACAGAAACATAATGGTCTGCCACAATCCAAGGCCCTTCCTCCAAAACAAAGTTGTAGACATTCAAATCCGCAAAACGAAACAACATATCAATGAACTCATGTGTCCCCGACAGATTCCACATCTTCAAGAGTCTGTTCAGCAGAAACTTTACACCAACCTTTTTTCCCAAGAGCTTGATAATCACAGCTTGCTTCCAAGGCCTGCAACTCTCCTTATATAGCTCTTTTGAAAATCTGTATGTAGGACAGAAAGGATCATCTTGGTCATTTGATTGAACATCCTCCTCCATACCATGAACATCCAACTCCTCAAACCAATCCCTTTCCTCGACGTCATCCGTAACTTTCAGCCCATTCAACTGTAAGAGTGTATCCTTATAAGATATCGGTTTCTTCCCTAACACTTCTTTAGCTTTGTCAGTACTACGCTTCAAGAGATCAACCTCCTCAGCGGATGGTTCACCAATCCCCGAGATCTCCATTTCTACACTACAAAGGCCTGTTTGGTGTGATGTATAAGGCCTGATTGGTGTGATGTATAAGGCCGAATAATATAAGCTTATATTATACGTTATGACTTTTTCAGTTGTTTGGTGTGACCATCGTATAGTATAAACTTATACAGCAGGACCCCTTTATACATCAAAATGATGTATAACTTAATCCGGCCTAGGAGTGGTGGATTAGGCCTAATAAGGGGTTGATGTATTAATATTGCTTACAAGTACAATTCCCAAGAACTAATATATCATTTCAACATTTATATATTAAAATAAATTTTTTTAATATATTAATTTTTAAAATATGGGAAGATATTATCTTATACAATATCATACCAAACGCTGGATAGTATTAAAATTTAATCAGGTCTTATACAATCAGGTCTTATACTATCAGGTCTTATACTATCAGGCCTTATGCTATACGATGCACCAAACATGCCCTTAAATAAAATAAAATGTAAATATGCATAGTAGTTACTCACTTTAAATTAAAAACTTAATTAAAGGAATTTTATCGAAATAAAAAAAGGAAAACAATTTCTGCATCGGTTAACTGAACTAGTTCATTTTACTGAGACCACTAGGGTTAGCCTAGTGGTTGGGTGTGTGTAGTGTAGTGTAGTGGTGTGTGTTTAATTCCGCAAAAAAAAAAAAAAAAAAGTTCATTTTACTGGAAAAAAAAAAAAAAAAAAACTAAACTAAACTAGTTCAGTTTGGAATAATGGATCCGAAACAATGAGTATATAATTTGTAGCCGTCACAAAGCACCGTCGCGAAGCTGAGCAGTTCACGGAGCTGCAACTGAAAGAGTTAACAATGAAGGCCCCTATCCCTCCGTCGAGAGTGGTTGCAATAGCAATAGCAATAGCATCCTTATCTATCGTTCCCTCTTCTTCGTGCCAATTGGCAGATCTCAAATCGGACTCCATCAACACGTGTTACTTCTCGTCACCATTCCCTGTAACACTTTTTTTTTTTTTAACTTATGCTTTTGATTTGGAGAATTTATTTTCACATTCAAGATTCTGTGCTATGCTTTGTTATGCTAGGGACATGATGTTGTGGTTCTAATGTGTTTGATTTCAATTTTGAACCGTAGGGTCTGGCGAGCCTCGCTCTCTTATGAAGCATGTTTCACTCGTGGTTGCTGATAAGCCTCACGAGTTTGGCAATTTAAAACTCATGTTTATTCATAGAAACACAGAGAAGATGCTAGCTGATTCCATAGGTGCTACTGCTACTGATGAAATAACAGTAATTTATTTCCATTATTCTGTATCTTACAAGTACAGAGGAAGACTTAGAGCAAATAATATATTGTCTTCATTGTATCATTATATGTCCCTTGCGCCTGAGGAGTTTCCCCTCAAAGCCCTCAACACTCCTCAAGATTTCACAACATTCCTTGATTCAACTGATGAGGCTCTAGTTCTTGTTGACTTTTGTGGATGGACTCCAAAGTTGCTTGCCGAAAATAAGATGAAAAATGGAACGGTTAATGGTTTCAGCATGCACGGTGAGTCTAAATGTTGCTGCTGGCTTCTGTAAGTGTAGCCTCAATGAATTTGATGTTTACCTACCTTGATCTTATTTAACATTTGCTTATTTCAGAAATAATTTGTATGATATTAGTAATAGTATATGGTATAATGGTAATGTACTAAAAATTTTCACTTTATTATTAGTTAGATATATTTGTAGAGTAGACTTGCCACAATAGTTACTCTTGTCGCCATGTGACTCCCGGATATCACATGTTGACACAGGCGGATTTTATCCCCCCCCTAAAAAAAAATTTGAAGGAATTTTTTTTTTTAAAGAGGGGGTGGGGCGGGCTGGTGTATTTTGGCATGCCACTTGCGGTTGGGAACTTGGGATTCAACATTTACTTGCGTTTGGTACGCGGGATTCTTCGGGATTCCTGGTAAACTGAATTTTTTTAAATTTTGGATATTATCATAAACTGAATGTAAAAATTATATTTTTGAAAATTGAAATTCCCGGACAAATAAAAATTTCTCCTGTACCAAACGCCAGACCGGCTGTTGTATTTTGGCATGCCACTTACTTTTGGAAAACTACAGAAGAAAGCCATCTATTCTTGCTTTCTCATTAGCAGGTGGTATTTGCTGCATAATATGTGCTATAATAGGCAATAGGCTCCAAGGAGTTAAGGTGGTGCTGGCAATGACATCATTTTTTGGTGCTTGACATCTTTTTTATTCTGTATTTTTCATCCCCTGGGTCCTCTGGCAATGTGAAAGCAAAAGCCCCCCCCCCCCCTCTTTACCAATTAATTTTATCAAATTTTATCAATTTGTTGATCTGATTAAATGTTTGCTTATTCCATAAAAAAATGGCTGCTAGATTAATTGGAACTTTGTAGCTAGAATTGCATAGTTAAATGTGTTTCTATTGTCTATTATACATGGCAAATGAGAGTTTGTAAGAGTGGCTGCACGGTCCAAAGAAATTTACGAAGTATATATGTTCGATATAACATTTTTTGTTTTTTAATGTATTTAAAACTTTTTTTAAAAATTCTTTTTGGGAGTCTTGCCCCCTAACCCCATCACTAAATGTGACGCATAAATAATATTTTCTGGATCCGCAGCCCCCCAATAGAAATTCCTGGTTCCGCCATTGCATGTTGAATCAATGAGACAATGGATCTGAGCCTTGTGTGGGTATATAGTAAGCAGCCTTACTTTGGAGCTGATTATATGATTTGAGCCGGTCACCTACAGGTCATGTGGCGACAACACCAACCATTGTGCCGAGGCTTCCTTTCTCTTTTTGTATACTTATGTTATGCGTATATATATTTTTTGGAATGTATTAATTGTCGTAACCCTCAGCAGAAGGTGAGTCACTGTAGGTATGTGGATTTTTTCCTTGTAGGGGATCACCTTGGAATGGGCTTTAGTGGAGGTAATTATAGAATATCAGTATCAAGGGAGAAGACTAACCAGAAGGTGGCTGGTATTATCTAAGTGCATGACAATATGAAATTTTTGACCTTAAATAATAAATTCATCATTTCACCCTTTTCTGTTTCCCCAAATCATCAGAGGATGACATGTGCAAGACTGAACTCAGCTTTGAGAAAGGGTTTTGTGAAGCTCCTTGGCTTGGGGAGTTTACCTCAGTAAAAGGTGGTCCTTTGGAAGGCTCCAAGGACAGGAATCATCATGTTCTTAATTCCTGTTCATTTGAAGAATTTGAGCGTTTCCATTCTTTCTACTTGAAATTCATGACTGCTGCGAAAGAATTCTTTCTGCCTCCGGAACGACATAGATTTGGACTGGTTTCAGATAGGTCCATGCTTTCATCCTTAGGTGTTGGTGATTCTGGTTCATGGTTTGCTGTTCACTACCTTGCTGGATGCTCAAGTTGTTCAAAAATTCTTAAAGAAGAGGATGACTTGAAGTATGTTTCGCAGATGAATAATTATATTGTCAAAGAGGTGAATAAAACCTTTCTAAATTTTGTTTCATGTTCTGCAGTTTATGCCATAATGTTATATTTCTATATGGTATAATGTTCATGTAACATGATACACATATTTCTCATCTTTTATTATTTATTTTTTTGTAAAGTTAACTGAACTCGTTTTTTTTTTTCACACTACTTAAAGTAGCCAAAAGTAATGTACTAAAGTAACTAAGAGTCTCAACGCAAATGATATTAAATTCTTTTAAAGATTTTTTATCTTACAATTGATTACCTGCACTTTAATACATACAGGAAATCTTAAAGATAAAGTGCCTTTTATCGTTTCTCTATTTTGAAATATTATAATTCTCTCTTAAAAAAAATGCATGACTCTCTAATGTATTTAATGTAAATATTATTTAAGACGAATCAGGTGTCCACATCGGAAATAAATCACCTCATATTAAAAAAAATGATATGATTATATGAAAAAATCATAATCACTTCAAGGTGAATCAACGGTTATGATTTTGTAACTACCTATTTTAATATTTTTATTTCTCTTGATTCACCCTTATATGGTTATAATTTCTCACGTGATAATATCATTTTTTTTAACATGAAAGGATTCATATCCAAGATACTTTCTATGATTCGATAAAATAATATCTTCATCATCTTTATTATTCAATCCAAGTTGATATTAACAGTTGGAACTTGGAATGAAGTTGACAATTGCATGAAAAAACATTTGCCCTTAAATATTCATTTACAAAAAAATAATTAAAAAAAATATTCATTTACATTGAAATGACTAAAGTGTAATACATATTAATTTATTTCTTTATTGGTTTATTAATTATTAAACTAATTCGATTAAACCAGCAAAACTACAAGAATGAAAAAAAATTCTTTTATTGAATTTTAAACACAACTGTATATTTAGAAAGCAACCATTAAATTCCCTCCACATACTTAATGATAAGGAGAATATAATATTTCAAAATAAATAATAGAGTAAAGTGATTACCGCATCTCTTAAAAGAGAAATAGTGTAATTAACAAGCTTATATCTCCCCTAAAGATATAAAATTAGTATTATTATTATCTTTATGACAATTGAATTATGATGGCTACACCAGATGGCCTAGTATCTGTAATTCAACTCAATCTATTTAAATTGTAACTGCTCTACATATGTTGATATTAACTCTATCTTAGATTAGTTGAAATTTTTTTAACTACTTCAATGAGAGTTAAATAGTGTGGAAAACTTTTTTTGTGTGTCTATATTAATCATCACAATTAAACACAAGAAATTCGGACAAAATTGTAAACGGTTTAAACATAAGTTTTGAAATTTGAAACCGGTCTATTTGAAATTTAAATTTTAATTAATCAAAACTTATACTGCTATTACATTATTAGGAATCACGATTTCTAATAATCATCACAAGCTCTAGTTTAAGACTTTCTACCCATCATACACAGGCTGCGAGGCATTGTTCCTTTTCCTCCAGAAATAGTTAAGGATTAGCTTAATATTCGAGTACACCATTATTGAAAGCTTGGTTGGATTTGAAATTTATATGTCGGATGACAACAACACTTTGTCTACAAGCTTAAGAAATAGAGAAATGAGGATTTTTTTATCAAAAAATTGAGAGAAAGGCAAAGGTATTACAGCTCCTGAGTAACTTGGATATCTCATCAAGCTTTTCTTAAAATTGCATCAAACAACTAGGACGAATGGTTATGCCAGCATTAACATACTAATAAACATCTCATACTATCTAAACATTCCATTATACCATTCCCATCAACGTATTGCAACTTTATCCATTATATGTCTGCATCAAGGAAGTTACTGGACAGTGCTACCTGCATTAAAATAATGAATGATTTATTTAACAAATGCGAAAGGCCATACCAAAGAAATGACACCAAACATCACAAGAGAGGGAAGGAGAGAAAGTACCTTCTCGCCCAATTTGAAGGGGGGAAGTCCCTTGTAGGGGCAGGTACTGCATCTGAAAGCATCCCCCCTAGTCCACACTGTAGAACAAAAGCAACATAAGCAATATTAGAAATTCTTGTTCCATCCATGATGAATTACTGTTGAAAATTAATGTTCAATATATCTTTGACAATATAACTAAATACAGTAAGATAAAGTAACTTAATTTTTTAAAGGGCAAGATATGAAGATACAATAAAGTTGTGTCTATTACCTAGCAGGAGGATTTCAATAACAACAAAAGTCTTTTTCCCACTAGGTGGGGTTTGGTACCTGGATCTAGAGAACTCATTTAAAAAATAGAAGTTCAGCCTAGCTTCCAAAGCTAAATTGACAGAAATGGCGCTAGTAGGAAATTAGCATTTCTTCCATCCACAAGTTACGCGTAACAAAAAGGGGAAGGATTTCTGTTACAGCACTAGCTTTTTCATCTCATGAAATTTAATTTATCTGAAATTAACTGGAGGAGTGGTTATTTTAATTATCCCATGCTTCTATAACTCATCTGAACTAAAAAAAGGCTATATAACCAAACAATTGTCAAGCTATTAAACTGTGTATACAAATCTAAATTATTAATTATTTTAGAAGTTTGAACTTTCTATCTTAAAATACACAGAAAGCAAAATGATTTTTATTGAACAGCACAGCCAGAGAAAGCATAAACAAACTGGTACATTGCAAAAGCCACAAGCTGATTGAGGATTATCAATCTGCTCAGCTGTCAATCCTAACTTCAATACTTTTTCCTCTTCTTCAGCCCTCCCACAAGTGCAATTTTTGCAGGCTTTTCTCGTGCTTCCTATTTCACAATCACTTACAGCATAAACAAGTTAGCTAATAGCCTGATATCACACAGATTACTAATTGATGACAAACTATAAAAGTACTCTTTACCAGGTGGCAGCTGGGGTTTCTTTAAATCTTCTTCAGTCAAAAGACTATCTTCATCAATCAGATCTGAATCGACATCAATTTGCACTTTAGGAGAACTCTTCACCACCTTCTTTATTGCAAAAGATGAACCAATTTTCCATGAAGGATTTTTAGCTTTGATCTATATGCAACACAAAACATATACATTATTAGAACTTGTAAGATGGTTATAACTAAGTTAATTAAGTGAATAAGAAAAGAATAACTTTAGGTGACTCAAGGCCCATAACTCAGTCATCAGGAAGACAAATTTGCCCGAAGGTAGTGAAGCAAGAAGAAAAGAAGAAAAATCTAGCTGAAATTAATGATCGTGCTAGAAATGAAAAACAATTAACCCGAGAATTGTCAAATACCACTAGAATGGGTATTAAAACTCATGTCAGCCTACTATTCAACTCATCACATGTTTTTTATTGTATTATAAACATGAGAAAATAAAAACTCATCTATGAAATGTTTCTATTGTATTCTATTTTATAATAAACCAAACACGAAAAAACAATTTTAAAAAAATGATTGGAAGAAAATGATGAATAAAAGATGGCAGAGGCAAATACCAGATAATGAAACTCACCCCAGAAGATTTGCCTTCTAAAACTTGTGTTTCGGAAAACCCTACCAATAATAACTTGCTCTCAAGATCAGATATCACCTGCAAGGACAATGAGGAAAAAATCACATCATGTACAACAATATAAATTCACTGAGGCACAATCTAGGTTGTAATTACCTTATCACCTGAGCTCACAGCAGACTGAGATGACTTGTGAATAAAAGTTATCCCACCTACTTTTAACACTGAGAATTTCTCGAATCAGTTGATCCATAAAACAATCAAGAGATTGCCAGATTAAAATGACAAAATCCACCGAAGAAGATTCCACTAGCAACTTACCTAAATGTTACAAGAATATGTGGTAAAAATTGGTTTCTTTGACTACAATAAAATAAAATATCATATACGCACAAAATGGAAAATCATGTGTTTGTAATGGAAATTGAATCTTCAGTCCATGTTCTTCCAACAAACATAAATTTTAAGGTTGACAAATGTTTAAAGGAATGATAGAACTGGATCAGAATGTAAAAAGAAAAAACAGTGTTTGATGACAGAAAATATATGTCTGGATCTGTATCATTGAAATACAAGATCAGATATGAGAGAATGAACATGGTTTTATAAATATTATATTCATAATGACGCAACGAAGATAAACTTTCATGACTATACAACATCTAACAAGTAAAAACAATGCATAACAGCGATCTATATAGTCTCTCTTACCAATATTCCCATATTTTCTAAAGTAAAATAAGGAAAAAAATAAAACATAAATAGTAAAAATATAAGCAAAATTTGATCTTTCAATGCATAATAGAAGCGCCAATCTATACATTTTTCTGAAAAAGACTGGATTATTATATTGGAAGATTCCAAAAATGGCATGCTAAATTTGGAATTTTCCTCAACAGATGAAACATGTTTAAGCTTCGTTTTCCTACTTGAATGAAATACCCATCACAGGCCCACTAAGTATTAAAAATTAGTATCATAAATTATTATGCATGATCATCGATTGGCATTTTACTTTATACAATAATGTTGGACACAAACTCCACGAAAAAGGCAGTTGTGCTGAAAGCATTAATTAAAGCTAAAAATAACATGTATAGGCTATAGAAGCCTAACTTGTATATTAACTCAATTGAATGCAACTTTTGTGAATTACCCGACAACAGCAGCTGATAAAAAGATCCCTCAAGAAGAGAATAATTAAGCATCATTTGCAATAAACATCTTTTTCTTGTGGTAAGTAGAAATTTGAGCAAGAGCAAGATGTAAGCAATAGAAAAATAAAACAATGGTCTTTGCTAGAAATTCATTCTATTTAAAAAAGCAAAGTAACCCTCTAAGACATGTTCTATAGGCAAAACCAGTATAGATTATTAAAAAAATACAAAAAAAATGCAATCAAAGGAGCGGTCGAATTACTTCATGATGATGCAGATTTAATAACCATAGGATGGTATTGTTCAACCCATTCTTTCCCAAGTTCTCTAATTGCATCAAACAATTGACTGACAGGAAGAACTGCTTCATCTGTACATGCCAACACAGTACCATGCGCCTTTGCAGCATCCTACAATATTCAAATATTGTTTAAATTTTTTTGCAAATTATACATCTCCATGGAGGAAAACTTTTAGGATATAA